GTTACTGGTTTATTTCACTTAGCACAATGTCCTCAAGTTTCATCCATGTTGTAGCGTATGTCAGAATTTCTTTCCTTTTTAAGACTGAATGATATTCCTTTGTACGTATATACCATATTTTGCTTATCCATTCATCCATCAATGGACACTGGGGTTGCTTCTACATTTTGGCTATTGTGAATAATGCTTTTATTGACATGAGTGTACAAATACCTCTTACACACTCCACTTTTAATTCTGTGGGGTATATACCCCAAAGTGGAATTGACATGTTATGTGGTAATCCTATTTTTAACTATTTGAGGGCCCACCATACTGTTTTCCACAGCAGCTGTTCCATTTTATATTCCTACCATCAATGCACAAGGGTTCCAATTACTCCACACGTTTGCCAACACTTGCTATTTTCTGTTTTGTTTTATTTTCTGGTAGTAGCCATCCTAATGGGTGTGAAGTAGTGGGTGAATATGCTTTTGAACATTTTCTTCTTATAATAGTCTTTCCCTCTGGATTTCATGAACCACTCTACCCAGGATCTTTTGTCCTCTCCTTTTTCACTCTTCCTCCTGTGCCTGAATATTGCCAGGGTGGCATCACATGTGTCACTGGTGATGATAAAAATGTTGTATAATCTGTGCTATCCAATGCAGTAGCCACTAGCCATATGTCATCACTAAGCATATGAATTGTGGCTGATGAGATTGAGAAAATGAAATTCTAATTTTATTTATTTTTTAACTTAATTTAAATCCACAAGTGACTACTGGTTCCTATATCAGATAATGCATTTCTATCTACTTCTTTCTGAGCCCCAACCTCATGTATCTAATTGCCTCCTTGACATATCTGCCGAATACCCTATGGCATCCAAAACTTCACACATCCAATGTCAAACTCATTATCACTTTCTCCAAGCCATCCTCTAATTTAGTTATTTCAATAGTATCACCTTGGCCCAAGATAGAACTATTGAAATTATCCTTTATTCTTCACTCTGCTTCATATCCCATATCCAGTAAATTATATATCCTGTCATTCAATCTTAAAAATGCCTCTCAAATCTGTCTTCTGTTTTCTAAAATACAGATCATCATTTCTCACATACTACCACCAACAACCTTTAAAGACCTCTCAGGGGAAACTCATTGACATTAAGATAAAGTCAAAATTGCTTAAATTCCTCTAATGTCACCTCTCTAGTGAATTCTTCAAGTCTCCCAGTCAGAAGCAAAATCTCCATCTTCTTCCCTCCCATAGCTTGTCCATATTACTATCACTGACTATTTTTGTGTGTTATGTTGAAATGATTTGGTTACCTGTTTACTCCTTTGGGCCCACTCTTGTGTATTAATTGTTTCTGTATTTTAACTGTTTTGCTCATCCTTGGCTTATAGTAGGCTACTAAAATGCTTAGATAACTAATAACAATTTATGAGCTAAATGTTGAAGATTTAGAACATAACTAGAAAATTCCTAGGTGTAGGAGGAGAAACAAACTTATTTCAAAACATAAATCCATGGTGATTTCTATTCACTTATTAAAGGATTAAGTAGCTAAGATTTTTATTGGTATTTCATTCATGTCTAATCTTTGGAGGAATTAGGTTGGCTTCTCTGGTAATTTTTTAAAATGCTATTTTTTAAGGTAATTATAGAGGATAAGAAAACACCTTCACCATCCATGCAGCATGTGTCGCCCTTCAGCAACTTTATACTGAACCACCTGACTGTCATTGAAGCCATGATGAATTACACCTTTTGGCACCAATATCGAGCCTCATTCATTATTATCTTAGGTTTCACGCTTTATATGAAAAAGACAAATGCCACGATAAATTCAAACTCTGTAAAAGAATTTAAAAAGGAACTACAGGACAACATTGGAAAACTGCTTTCAAGGACTAGGACTCAGAGCTCACATTCCATGTATTAGCGTGGTTTATCAATTTTTTATTTTTTATAATTCAGAAAGGCATTAATTATAAATTACTAACTTTCAAATGTTTAGAAATTGTAATTTGAAATAAATTATATTTGTGATCTATAGCAAAGGTCAAGAATGCAAAATAACTCACTCGGAAAGCATAATAGATTGTATTACATGATCATTTATATTAGATGTATATATTTATTGCACATTTAAATCTATAACACAAAATATGTGACTGTGTTATGCTGTTGTGTATCCAATTCAAACTTTTACTGGGAGAAATAAGGAAAAGTATGTTCAATATTTCACTTAATTCTGATTTCTTGAAAATTTTCTAGTATTGCTGTAATATAAATAATAATTGTGCCTTATCATTTTACAAAGTATTTCTCACATATTTCATATGACTTTTTCATAATCGACAGTGACAGAATTTTTACCTGGCTGGGTCTTTTATTCAAAGTGCAGTGCCGGATCTACAATATCAAAACACTTTGTGGAACAGGAGTGTACCAAACACGGGATACTGTGATAAGACCACTATTACCCTCACTGAAACAAAATATTCTAAAGACCGCAATCCTTCACAAGGTAAATTTTGTACTCCATTTGTACACACTAACTTATTGGTGTATTTTCAGCACTTAATTAATTAGTTTAGTTGTATGTTTTCATATCTAAGTTATTCTTTTTTTTTTCTTTAAAGTAAAAACTAAATTCAGAAAATGAAGGTAACGGCCAACTTTGAAGATATTAGCACCAGCATTTTTTAATGTGTTAATAATTATACTCAATTACATACATATTGGATTTCCAGAGAAAATGTATACATCATCTTTTCTACCTCACAGAATCCTAGTGAGAAAAACCATTATAAGTGCACTCATTTTTGATGTAGAAAATAAAATAAAGTTCTACAAAATAATATAACAAGTTGGTAGCCAAGGCAGAAACAAAATCTATGCTCCATATTTTCTACTCATGTACTCTAGTCAATCCTTCTGCATTTACACTTCTATTCTGTTCTTGGTCAAAGAAAATTTGACTTTAAAATGAAGTATCTATTAAACACTTTTTAATGGTTCTGCAAGTTCTTCTATTAGCGAAATAAAATTAAACTTCTGAAGCACAATTTCTTCCCTTGGCCTATGTCTGCAACATGAGTGGTTACCATAAGTAAACACGACGACTAGGGAAACAGTGTCAACGTTAGAATAACATATGTGGCTGTAAAAAAAAGTCATAGAATATTTTCTTTGTTTAAAAAATAAAAGTTTGGCACCTGAGCTAACAACAGTTGCCAATCTTCTTTTTTCTTTCTTTTTTTCCCCCGCTTTTTCTCCCTGAATCCCCCCAGTACATAGTTGTATATTCTAGTTGTGTGTCCTTCTAGTTGTGGCATGTGTGATGCCCCCTCAGTGTGCCCTGATGAGTGGTGCCATGTCGGCGCCCAGGATCCAAACCAGCAAAACCCTGGGCTGCCCAAGTGGAGCACATGAACTTAACCACTAGGCCACGGGGCCGGCCCCCACAGAATACTTTCCTCTGCACTTAAGCAGATTTTGTTTTCTCATAGACGTAGAATTCTTTCCAACATCTATTTAATAGGTTAAACATTTGCTTACACATGAAATATATTTGAAAATACACGTAGAACATGTACCAATATCTGTGCACAAATTCATGTCTTCTCTCAAATGGTCTCTTTTCTGTGTGTTTCACACTAAGTACTGACCTCATATGTATGTTCAGACTGTGTTCTATGCTCCCCTACTCCCTTCCTGACCCATCCCTGCTTTCCAGTATGCTCTCAGGAGTTGTAGTATGGCCAAAACCTCATGTAGCGAAAATCAGAACTATGTTTATACCTCTACAATCAAAAGCTTAGGATTTTCTCTGGCTTGGGATGTCACATCTTAGAAACTATCATCTCATTACATATCTAAAGAAATTTAGACTCTAAGTATCCAAAAGATTGAATGAATATATAGATACACACACACTCATCAAAATATATATAGATATATATACTCATTCAAATAGATAAAAAGATATATATACATGTATAGATATCTATTTCTATCTATCTATCACCTCTCCAAGTACTAGGAAAACAGTCAAGATATGGAATACTAAGGAGTCATTACTTGGGGGCCACTTCTATCTTGCTATATCCAAATAATAATGGATGATCAAAGGGTGGATGTATTAAAAACTAAATCAAGGAACTGGAATAGATTGGAAAGGAAAGTCTTATAAATATAGTTAAGATTCAGATATTTTGAGTTTAGGAGAGTTTCACTAAAATGTGGTCCAAACTCTTCTTATTTCAATAGTTCAATATGCCAGGGTAGATCTAGAATTCTAGCCTTTGTTTTCTGAGCTCACTCTTAAACTCATTGAGTTTAGTTCATTATACCACATTTCCTCTTTTTATAGCCTTGTAAAATTTCACCAAGAAGATTTAGGGATGATGTAGTATTTCAGCTAAGCATAAATAAATATGGATTATTTTAAATGTAACGAAATGTCAATATCCTCTACAAACTATCCCCATAAAGCAAGTTATGACAAGTTAAACAAATAGTTGGTAAATGTAAAAGTTCATATGATGTCACATGACATCAGAACATTAAATTTATTTGCTCCATACTGTAGAATTTAATTTTCTTCCTACTATAAACTTACAGCCAAAAATATAGTAAAGACATAGGTATGACCATCACAGAGTGAAAACATTTATTATAAACACAGTCTAATTTTTTTTTCAAAAAGGTGGCTTTTTTTTTTACTGCATCTAAAAAGTACCACAACCAAGCAAGTACCTTAAATATTGAAACAAAACTTTAAAGATACAGAAATTCAAAGACCCATTTTGTACTGTTTTTAATCTAAAGTGAAGGGGTATACTTGAGAACATGCCACAAATCTCTCCTCAGATTAAGGAAATACATGTAGATTAAATGAAAATATATGGACTTCTCTTGACAGGTTATATTCCTTTCCTCCATCGACCAACAAAAAAGAACAAAAATTTCCCAACCTGTTCGTAAACGCATTCCTCTCCTACCTTGGTGATGGTTTCATGAAGGTTGAAAAAAGGATCCATTTCTTCAATTTTTGTTGCACGTTTAAGGAAAAGGGCCTCAGAGAGAAAACTTGGACTCTGTGGAAAATCAGAAAAGAAATATTTAAAACTCTGCATTGATTTTACTTTTCAAGTGCTTATTGGATTTTCTTTAAAAATTCGAAAGGACTCTCATTTGCTTTAAGATTTCTGTTGATTGTTGGACTTCTTTCCACTGATTTAATTAAACAATCACAGAACATTTATAAATTAAAATGAGTAGAATTCTAGAACTCTTGACATTATTTATATTTCAAAATGATGTTTTCTTACTAGAAAAGATAATTCTCTTCAGTCTTCCCCTTTAATCCAAATGCAGACTTAAATGTACCGCAAGATGTTTTGACTATAAAACCCCTCTCTGAAACTCCTTCTCTACTTTGTATATTAAGTTTTATGTTTCAAGGCCGGTAGAATGAAATGTTTTTTATAAACATGATTTCAAACTAGACAAGCCTAGGCAAAAGTGTGCTTGATATTTTAAATATTGCAAAACTCACTTCAAAACAATAGTAAGATATATTTATGGCTTTACATGCTGCCAATAAAGTGATAACATTGCATTGGAACCTTAGTGTTAAGCTGGTTAAAATGAATCAGAGATACTGTAGTCAGTCATTTTGTATTTGCAGGTTTAGACAAATTTTTGGATGCAAGAAGGCACAGATGTTGATAATGTCACTATATGCTATGGTTTGAACATTTATTTCCCCCTGCAAATTCATATGTTGAAATCCTAATCTCCAAAGTAATGGTACTAGGAGATGGGGCCTTCGGGAGGTAATTAGGTCATGAGGGCTCCATCCTTATAACTGGGATTAGTATCCTTATGAAAGAGCTCCCACAGAGCTCCCTAGCCCCTCCTCTATGTGAGGATACAACAAGAAGTCTGCAACTTGAAAGAGGGCCCTCACCTGACCATGCTAGCACCCTGATCTTGGACTTCCAACCTCGAGGACTGTGAGAAACAAATTTCTGTTGTTTCTAAGACACTCAGTCTGTGATATTTTGTTATAATAGCCCAAAGGGATGAAGACACTATCTAAAACAGAATTCGAAATATATTATGATGTACATCCGAAAATAAACAAATAAATGAAAACAAAAAGAAAACTATTCAGGAGCCTAAAAAAATTAAAAAATAAAAAATAAATAAATAAAACAATGCTCTTGTGGTTATCAACATTACTAGCATCCCACAAAATGATTATTATTTACCATATAAATATAGTTTTTACTTGAAAGCCTGAAATAACTAGGATTATTTGTCCAGAAAATAGAAGACTTGGAACAAGATATATGTATGTATATAGACAATAGAGAGAGAGATAGGTAGGTAGATGGATAGGTACTCTTTCTGAAGGCTATTATGGGGAAGACAGATTCAACCCAGTCTATACCAACAATGATCACAACAGGGTAACAAATTTAAGCTGAATTCTATTAGAACTATTTATTAGAACTATTTTTAGAGTAATCCAATAGCAGAGCAGACTACCATGGGATATGTCAATGGTAGGAAAGAAAGTTAGGATGATATCGCTGATAGATTCTGAAGTCATACAGATGAGAACTGAAACCAACATAATTGCAATTCCCTATATGTTAAACAATTCTGTGATCAGGCATACTCTTCAGCCCTGATTTTGAATAATGCTGTGATCAAACAAAAGGAACTTAGCCATTTGTTCCAGCATATACCCACTTTTGGATAAGAAAACCATGAATCAACCAAACAGCTCACCTATCAAGACTAGCAGATTAGTTATCAAACTTTTTGGCTGCCAATCTAAAACTAATTTGTCAGAAACTCTGCCCAGTCTTGAACAGTACTCCACTTTTTAAGACTTACCATAAAACTACACAACTCAGGCTTAAAACAGCACAAATTTCCTTCCCTAATTTCTCCATTTTGAGAGAGTACTAAGACTCAATGTTATGGGTTGAATAATTCATATGTTGAAGTCCTAACTTTCAGTACCTCAGAATGTGATCTTGTTTGGAAGTGGATTGGTGCAGATCTAACTACTGAGTTAGAATGAAGTCATACTGGAGTACAGTGGGTCCCTAACATAATATGATTAATCTCCTTATAAAAAAGAGGAAGTCTGGAGACAGATGGGCACACAGGGAGCAAACCACTTAAACATGAAGGCAGAGATTGGAGTGATATGTCTATAAGCCAAGAAACTCTGAAGATTGCCGGAAAACCACCAGAAGCTAGGCAAGAGGCTTGAGACAGATTTTCTGTCACAGACCTCAGAAGGAACCAACTCTGATAACACTTTGAACTGTTAAGCAATAAATTTCTGTTGTTTAAGTCACTCAATCTGTGTTGCTTTGTTATGGCAGCCATGGGAAACTAATACACTCAGCATGGTGCTGTCTTCCTTACTGAAATAGATCTAATAAAGTTAACTTTGTTTGTCAACAGGGATTTTTGGAGGCATTTTGAGCAGTCAATGTAGGAATGGGCTAAAATTTTGGTTGTGCCGCTTAATAATTGCGTCATCTTAAGCATCTTAATCTTCAAAGGATTAGTTACTGCATTTAAGAAAGCTGGATAATAACATATACTTCACAGAGAGGTGAACTGTCCAATGCCTATCACATAGGAGATAATATGTTAATGGTATTGATGATGTTGTTTAAAACAATAAATATCATAATGATGATGGTGAGGATGGTGATTACAGTAGGATGCTGGACTAAAGGAAATCCAGAGACCCTGTTGATAATCCTATGAGAAATAATGTACAGTTTTCAATTGGATATGTTTATTTTTCCAAATAGAAATATCTTTGAATTAACTTTAGTGAAAGTACAACATGGACAATTTGTGGCATTCATTTTCATTTAATAATTGAACTTGAAGTTCTTAAAAAGTTTGCCTCATGAGTAGTTTTAAATAAACTTCTTGAAATAATTTTATCTTATTAGTTTATTTAGCAAAGCTAAACATCATAAACAGTGCAAAGGTAAGATATCAGCCAGCCTCAAATTGAATGATTCCATAAGAATATAAATTGGGAACTATAATTAATGAGGTTTTTATCAAACTTTCAATTATTCAGTAGCAGAACATATTGAATTATCCAGATGTGCCTTATTCTCCAATGTAATCCCCTTCTTTCCCTTACTCCTTCATCTATCCTTTGCCATACCATTCTTTGTTTCTAGTGCCTCGTTTATCGAATCATTTAACACTTACTATATGCCAGGTGCTCCACTAAATTGTTCTTAATCTCTTGGAGTTTAATCTAATGGGGTTTGGATACAAAATAGATCAAACATCACTGTCTTTGAAAATATTAAGACACCACTATTCTTTTTCATATATGCATGAATACAATAATCATGATTTATAAATAGGTGTTTATATATTCTGGCATAAAAAGTAATGAAAAGATTAAAAAGAGAGATAAATGCTTTGTGAAAGTTTCCTACTGCTATTGCATTGACTACGGATGATGACTGTTTAATAATGGCTCCTATCTGCAGATGAAGAAGAGAAATAAAGCACCATTAAGCATTTAGAAAGGGCTTTTGTTTAGAATAATTCATTGAAAGATTGAAATGAAGGAATAACTCAAGATACAGAAAACAATACTATATGTCTACCAGTTGGAGATCATAGTAAGAATATTACAGAAGAAGGGATATTGATAAGAAAAGTCTATCCAGGATCTAGCGTAAAATTCAGTTCCTCTCTCCAGACCCTAACTTACTTGTCCTTTCTGTTAACATTTAACAATGCTTAGCACATCTTCTTTCTTTCAACTCTTTTGCTTAAAGTCCATTTGACTCTCCTGGTTCTTCATTTGTATATTATTCTCTTCCTGTAACTGAATTCTCTTTTCCTTTTTGAATCTTTGAAACTTTTTTAACTATTCTTTATATATGGTCTACCTTCAGTGTTCTCCTTTTCACAGGCTCCTTAGGTGGTTTTGTCTACTTTTCTGGCTTCAACTACCAACTTCAGATTGATGGTTCCCAAATCTTTATCTCTAGGCTCACTGTCTGTTTTTAGTTCAGCATTTTGGTTTGTCTAAGAGATCCTTCAGACATATCAGCTTATGTTCTAAATCATAATCATGTGTCGCCTCCATTTCTTATCTTGGGTGATGGCTTAATATTTATATTTTCCCAAAATGTAAAATTTCATGCCATTCTTGACTCCAATTTCTCTCACCCTTTGTACTATAGAACTGCACTAGCCAATTTCCTTCTAATCTATATATTTAGACAATTCTCTACAAGTTCTTATCTGTTGCCATAGTCCAGTTACTTAATCACCAAACTATGGTCCCAATTGTCTATAGACCAAAGTCCACATATATAGGGGATAAACTTTAAAAAGATATGATGGGAAACAGGAAGTTTATATAGAAGGCTATTGCAATAACACAGTGAGAAAGAGTGAGAGATTAAACCAGGACAGTGGCAGTAGAAATAAAGAGAAAGAGATGAGTTTGATAAAGGCTTAAGAGATGAGTTCATAAAATTAGTAGTACTTGGTAATTAACTGGATGTAGAAGCCTCAAAAAGAAGTCAAGATTGCAAGTATTTTTAGATTTGATAAAATGAATGTATACAAATTTTATTAAATTAGAAAACAGAAACACATGAAAGTCTAGAACAGAAAAGAAATTAAATTTTAAACACTTGAGATGAGGTGTTTGTGGGACATCCATATGAAGTTATCCTAGAGTGACTATATTGTCCAAGACCAATTCAGTTCAAGACCAAATTCTGGACAGGAGATATAACAACAATTTGAGAAGCATGTACGTGATAGTTAAAATGTAAAGTGGACCACATATAGACTGAGAAGTTTATTGAATGTAGCACAGATTTCTGAGTAACAAGGAGATCTCTGAAAGGCACCAATACTTCAGGGGTGGGAAAATAAAAACAAAACCCATGGAGATGTTATATATGGAATAATCACAGAAATGTAAAGAGAACCAAGTAAGCATAATTTCAGGGAGACAAAAAGGTAAAAAAATGTCTGAGAATGAATAATCAATGATTTAAAG